GGCTTACTTTTCAGCCCTGAAAATGTAGGCTATATATTCCTTTGACAGTGTTATATCCTAGAATATATAGCTCTTCTATCACATACCGTTTTCACACACTTTAGCAGTCAACATTGTTGTACTTCCATGACATGCATGTGTTTCCCATCAAAATTAAACCTGGACTGTGCTCCATACTTCCTGTATAATTTGTCTTAGGCCATATTTTACTTAGCCTGGTGTTTAGTTTGATAAGTACAACAGTAGAACAGAGTAGCATTACAGGGATCAGAAGGCATTTGTCTTTTATCTCTCCATCCACAACAGGTCACAATGTGAAAGACACCTTGCTGTTAAAAATGTAACAAGAAGAAAGCGAAAGATTTTCAGATTCCAGTATGTACGCTGACATACAATGTACGAATCATCAACAAATTAAAGTTCAAAAGCCTACTTCAACATTTGTAAAGTAATAATATTCTTTTGAAGCTGGGCTAGCGCAGTCAGTATAGTGACTGGCTACAGGCTGGACGGCTGAGGGGTTGAAGTTCGAGTCCCGGTAGGGACAAGAGTTTTCTCCTCTCCTCTCCCACCCAGCCTCCTATCCAATGGGTGCTGTGTGCCCATTCCCCAGGGTTAAAGCAGCTGGGGTGTGAAGTTGGTCTCACACCTCCAACTAGTGCCAAGGTCAAAAATACATGGATCTGTACATCTATTCCCTCATACGTCTTCATGGCGTGGTTCTTGATTAGTTAATCACAAGGACAGCTATACCTTTTTTCCATTATTTTTGGTGGAAAAAAAAACAGTTTTCCTTGCTGAGGTTTGCTCTCATCTTTCCTTCCATGCAAAGGCAGAATAATTCCTGTCTGGTTCCCTCCACATCCTGTCTAAACCATCATTCACAATCTTTTTCTGAATGATGATGTTTATACATTCATATACTTGTGGGACAACTTAATCATTGTATTTTTGACTAGCTTTAATTTTTGAAAATAAAGGCAACATAAAAATAATTTTTCAGATTTTTTTAAATTTGTATCATTGTTGGTATTATAGATTAGAGGAGTTTCTGAATAAATTTAATTTCCAAAAAGTAGTAGTGTTTCCTTTCTTGTGGAGCTATCAACTTTTCTCTTCAGAATGGACGTTATACTTTATCATGGGATATGCCACAGACATCACATGATGATTATCCTCTTTTGAAATTTATGAGTTGAATTATTAATTTTGTGGGTTTAGGAAAAGAGCTTGAAAGAAGCCTAATAATAATTTCATGAGCAAGTAAATAAGCCCTTGCTACATTAATTTTGTTAATGAATATTTGTGTTTGTTAGTTTGTCAGATAACAAATTGTGGAGCTCCTCAAACTACATAATGAAGAACATCATAGTTTTTGCTATATTTATTGAGAGCGCTTACAGACATTACACAGCACAGTTGTTTCATCGTTTCATGGGTTTCCAAAATCTCTAATTTGTCTTCTTTTTGGTTGATAGTAAGGTAGAAAAAATAAAGGTGAAGCTGTCCCTGTAATAGGCTGTGAAGACTCAAAGGGTTGTGAGACATCAAGGCTCCCACATTTCTAGACAGTTTGCTCACAGATGCCGGGGAGGTTGTCTGTCAGCCTTACATGCCAGCCACCCTTTACCCCCAAGAAGATGCCTGGTACTCATTTCTCATAATAATATAAGATTTTTTTAATCCTTTCAGAGATCATTTATGGTGCAGAAGGGTGTATTCCTCAATCCTCTTCCTCTAAAAGTCGTTAATATTGTTAGGTTTATTAATTCTGTGGCCTTTTAGTCAATACTATACTATACTATACCAACTAAGCAACCGCTGCTTGTCAGCGAAGTTAGTGCCAACTTTTTGTAGAATGAGGGTGTTGCATGGTCAGCACAACAGATTCCCACAGCCATTAATCTCGGTTTTCTAGACCGGTGCCACTACTTCCTTGAAATAGCTCCTCAATTGTCATCACAAGGATGAGTAGACCCCATTCCAGACCCACTACCTCTCAGAAAATATGGTAGTGTCCAGAATCAAACCCAGGAACTCTGACCACCATACCACAAAGGTGGTCATTAGGGTGATTAAGTCAAATAAAATAAAATGGGCAGGTAGCACACATGGCGGAAGCAAACACTCCATACAGAATTTTTGCTAGAATAATATTACAATTGATTGTGGGAGAACAAAATGTGAAGTTGTGGGCTGGATTCAACGGTTTGAGAATGATGCAAGTGCTAGTTTTAATGATTTTATGGACACAATCCTTTATTATTATAATATAGCATTTCCAAAAAAGACTGTTTATATGAAAATGACAAGGAAAAACAAATGGATTACCCAAGGCATAAGAAATTCTGGTAAAAGGATGAGACTGTTAAATGGTTTTAAAAAACAGCATACTCTGTCTAGGGACATGCTGGAATATATCACCAGATATAAAAAAATTTATAAGAGTGTTATGAAAGACGCAAAAAAATTTGCAAATGATAAGTATGTTTCAAGGTCTCAAAATAAAATGAAAGGTATGTGGCATTTAATAAAAAATAAAGTTGGTAAGTCATGTAAAGGTGATAAGAAAATCCAGCTGTTTAGCGGTACAAAAATAATATCAGATCCGCAAAGTGTGGCAGATATGTTAAATAATTTCTTTGTTGAAATAGCTGATGACCTTTTAAGTCAAAACACCAGTAACAACAAAAACACACAGTAGCAGAAACAAAGGATAAACTGCTGCCCTAATACCACATTTTTCCATCCAGTCACTGAATATAACATGGAGTGTGTAACAAATAGTCTAAAATGTACATTATCTGCAGGATATGACAAGATACCAGAATATCTTGTTAATAATTGTATAAATTATGTAAAAAGCCCAGTGGCTCATATTTACAATGCCTCTTTAAGCTCAGGCACCTTCCCACATAGATTAAAATTAGCTAAAGTGATACCTCTGCACAAAAAAGGGGAAAATCATGATATTAAAAACTACAGGCGGATATCCATTTTATCGACACTTTCCAAAATATTAGAAAAACTGATGTATAATAGGCTAATGCCTTTTTAATTCAAAATAATATATTAACAGAGGCACAAAATGGCTTCAGAAAGAATAAATCAACTGACACAGCAAGTCAGTCTTTTATTGAAAGTACAGAGGAGGCCTTAGGTAACGGCCTATATGCCATAGGATTATTTTTTGATTTATCAAAGGCATATGATGTAATAGACCATAATATACTTTTAGAGAAACTAGACTCATATGGCATAAGAGGCGTGCCAAATATGTGGTTCAGGTCTTACCTGTCAAACAGAATCCAATATGTAGAAATAAAAAACACTGACGGCAGTGTCAAAACCAGTTATAATTCATCATGTAGGAAAGTGAAGTATGGTGTACCACAGGGATCAGTGTTGGGGCCGCTTTTATTTTTACTATACATTAATGATCTTACAGAAAATGTTCAAGGAGCAAAGCTGGTTTTATATGCAGACGATACAAATTTGTTAATTACTGGAAAAGATGAACTTGACCTTCAATATAAAATAATGAACGTTATGAAAGGATTAGAAATATGGTTTCAAAAAAATAAACTTGTAATAAATATTAAAAGACATCTGCCATGTCATTTCATTCAAAACAGCGGAGAGATCCGATAAGACCACAAATAGTTTTTAATAATACAGAAACAGTATATCAGTCAGAGTTGAGATTTCTTGGAATTCACATGACAGAAACCCTAAAATGGTGCGCTCATGCTCAATTTCTAAAAGCAAAGCTATGCAAAGTAATTTATATGGTGAAAATATTAAAAGAAATAATGAGTCCATATATGATACAAATTATTTATTTTTCGAATTTTGAGTCATGTATGAGAAATGGTATCTTATTGTGGGGTGGGGATGGGGAAAGTAAAAGCATTTTTAAATTGCAAAAGCGGGTTCTTTGAGTGATTAGTGGTATTAGTAGTCGCACATCATGTAGACAAATTTTTAAAGATTACAATGTTTTAACATTGCCTTCTCTGTATATATTGCAGGTGACATGCTTTATCAAAAAATACAAGGCTTTTATGTCAATAAATTCAGACATTCATAATTATAACACATGAAGAAAATTAAATTTTCATGTACAGCATTGTAATACAGTTCTTTTTAAGAGGAGTGTGATAAATATGGGAATTAGTTTGTATAATAAGGTCCCCGATCAAATAAAACAAAGGGAAAATTTTAACTCATTTAAAAAGGAATTAAAATCTTTTTTGCTGAAACATTCCTTTTATTCTGTAGATGAATTTATGTCTTTTGATTCATCAAGTGTGTAAATGTAATATGTAGCTGATTAATTTGTTGTATTTGTGTGAGGACAATGCAGTTAATGGTAACTGGATCTAGATAATATTATTCAGATGACAAACCCCCTATATTAGGGTGGTACAGTATATACTGTAAAGATATGCACGAGAATTAGATGTAAAACTGACAATTTCCCTATCCAAATGGTTGTAATACCTGTATGTATGGATTGTTGAATGATAATAAAAATGAAATGAGGTCCTCTGACAGGATTTTATGAACATTTCAATGAATCTTCAGATTTCATATAAGCAAGAGATTTACTGATCATCTGAGTAACTATCAAGCTTTCAGAAAGGTCATCATCCATCAAGGAGGTAGTTATTATGTCAGTAGTATATGAGGGATATGGTTTCACTTAAGTAAAACTACATTTAATTGTATATATTCAGAAACCAACTATGCTGTGTATATAAAATTTGGTCCTTCCATGGCCATATTTTTCTCATTTCAATGAATTTTGACAAACAGATAAAAAAAAACATGTTTATGGTGCTTCAAACATTTCAGGAGTGCTAATGGTTCAAGCCATGAAATAATTTAATTTTTTTACAATTTTAAAAATACCAGACAAAGCAAATGCATAATTTCCTCTTACCATTTTAAATTAAAAATACTAAAGATTAAATTTATTTTATGCATTTTTCTTTCAGCAACCAATTCTTGCTTGTTCAAATGGAAAATTTAAAGCATTCTTGTTGGCGCATGTACCAATACTGCACGAGAAGTATTGGCCAACACTTTGGTGTTTTGAGTCTAGAGCGCAGACTGTATTTGCAAGTCTGATACGGTCAAGACTTCTTCCTAATATAAAGTACCGAAGGTAAGTGAATAATGATGAATTAGGGAACAATTTTGAAGTATGACATGTACATAATCCTTACTGTGAACATATATGACATATATGTCACTAGTATTATATTAAAAGTAGCATTATGTAAGGTTAACACATTGCGGACCGGTTGTTTAAATATTTAAATCACCCTGGAGACCGGGGATTTTAAGCCTAGCACCCTAACTTGTGCACTGTTCACTTTAAAAATTAATATAAAATCTCCTAATTAATTTTATGAACTAAAATTTTTGGAGAACACTTACCAGAGCTCCTAGAAGTGCTTGCACATGTGATATCTCTGGAAGCGTTCCCCTTTGTGACATTGGAGCTCTCACTTTCACTGGACACTATTTTGGTGGGCCCTGTGGCCCCTGTCAGTGTCACTTTCACTGAGGCTGGCCTCGCTATCAGAAGACGAAGCAGTTGGCAAATCTGATAGCGCATCGGAGAACAAATCTAATATTTCTTGTTCTCCGTGAGAATGCTTCGCCTGCAACTGCATTCGTCTCTGATCCATGTTGCACTGCTAACTTCCTGGTTCATATGTGGAAGCTTGAACTCGAACAAAGGCTTTTTTCTTTAGGTTATGACAGGAAATGAACGTGATCATGTTACTGGCTAAGCTAGCAAACATTCCCAAGGCCAACTACGCAGTAGTTATGATGCAACATGGCCACGCAGTGAGATATATTCGGTTGCAACATACTGCGTCAGAAAAGGGCCAATTGGCCCGCGCGGTTCACAACGCTATAGAAACGTAGAGGGCCAATTGGCCCCTCTGGTCCTGAATGTGTTAATAAACCAACACAAACATAAAAAAGTTGTACCTGTGCTAAATTAATTAAGCACCATGCTATGAAGATGGAGGAGTACCTCCACCATTCTTCATTTCAGCACTAGTTGGAGGTGAGTGGTTATCTTCATGCTCCAGCCGCTTTACTCCTGAGGAAAGAGCTCCTGGTATCCATTGGATAAGAGGCCACATGGAGCCCAGAGCCAGTCTGGATTCTGAGGAACAGAGAAAAATCTCTTTCTCCTGCCAGCAATCAAACCCTGGCCATCCAGCCCATAGCCCCTCACTATACCGTCTGAGCTGTCCTGGCTCATAACAAACGTAAATTAAATTAAAATAATTTAACCAAATCTAATATTACAAAATTTCTTATTTAAGAAATATATGATTATATCTGAATATGAAAATAAATGCAGTGGAAGCATATTTAATGTGTTCACTCATTTAGTATTCAGTTTCAGTTATTCCAGTTCCATAATCTCAGAATTAAGTTTTTTCCATTTATGATCCTCTTCCAGTTAGTGCTGTTCAAAAACATTATTCCAGAAAAGGTAAAGGTATCCCTGTAACAGGCCATGGAGGCCCATAGTGTTGTGAGATGTTGAGGTACCCACATTTTCTAGACCATCGGCTCATAGATGGTGGCAAGGTTGTCAGCCCTATGCACCAGCCGCCCCTTACCCCCCAAAGTATTCCAAGAATATTTTTGGTACTAATTTCTGTTAGAAGCTGAGTCGACCCCAGGGTCATGGTGCGGCTGGAAGGGTTAGGTCAACTGAAAAAATCCAGTGACCTCATTGGGACTTGAACCCATGACCTTCTGGCTTGTAGCAAAGTGCCTCAACCAAGTATGCTACTGCTTCCCCCCCCCCCAATTATTTAAATAAGAATTTCACTGTATTTTCTTAATTTAGCCAGTACAACTAAGGACTTATATCAGTAAATAATATAACTATTTCACAACATAATATTCAAGCATAAAAGCACACAATTTGTCCCTTTGTTTTAAAGTTGTATGCATTCTCTTTACACACACTTTGATTTTTTTCTTAAAAGATTTCTGACACAGTTTTCATTGTTATGGTGCAAAGGTGATTACATCCCTAGTCTTGTAAGTGCTGTGGTATATTGCATGTTCTGTCATGTTTTATGTTGTAATTTTAATAGTTTTCCCTACCAAACATTTATTGTCAGTTCATAGCTCTTTTGATTCTGGTCTGACATGGGCAAATTTTAATTGTTACTAACTTTCATCTTAACATTTCAACACAAGAGATGCATAGTGGTAATCAAGGCATCTCTACAATGTAACTTTAGTATCTAAGGGCCTTGACATATTATTTTAAAATTCATTCTCCAGAGGTTTCTGATTGTGGTTGATTCATTATCTGCATATTATGTTTAACAGAGCCCGTTGTCTGAGGTATAGCAGTTCTTCTGCAGCCCACAGTAACCCTTAGAAATCTCATTATTTAGTTTTGTTTCATTAGAGTAGTTAATGTTTAAAGCATTAAAGAGTCTATATTTTTATCTTTCCATATGGTATTACTTGAACTGGCCATACAGAGTTTGTATAGAAAATTAACTTACTTTCACATTAAAAGGTAAATCTATCCCTGTAACAGGGCTTGAAGACCCATAGGATTGTGAAACGTCAAAGCTCCCATATTTCCTCTAGACAGTCAGCACACAGATGGCGGTGAGGCTGCCCTTTACTCCCCAGGAAGCACATTAAGATCATGAAAATAGCTAAGATTTACAGCTGCTATCTCAGTTATTTAAAAGTGCTGATAGTTTATGTTTAACAGTATTGTGGCTGTTATTGGTGAATTTGATTGCAATACCATCACCTTTGCTTGTGTAATAGACATGTTATGCAGAGAGGTTGCGTGAGAGCCTGCCACAGGTCACTCAGCCAGTTCAGCAGAAGGATCGTTCCTCATTTCAACTCTTTCCACACATGACGAAACCCACAGCGCAATTGACAGGCCCATAGGGTAACCTAGTTCAAAGCAGATGCCAGAGATGTTCCCTGTTGTTATGCACACATTCCTTGCACCCGCACAAAAAGTTTACATTCACTTTATGAAGTTCCTTTTCAGAAGTATAACAATCTTAAAGTTTAAACTTGGTCTCCTGTGCAAGGTGTCTAAAGAGCTTTCTGAAAGGGTTATTCAAGCCTAGCACTAATTTTCTCTACATTCTCACCAATGAGTACTCAGTGTTTTATTTAGTTCCTTTTTTGGCCAGTATTGACTTGTGTGCCTAAATTGATTTATACTGTAGTTTTTTATTGTGGACAGAATATGTAACACGAATGGGGTAGAAGAGGAATGCATATAGGATATTGGTGGGAAAGCCAGAAGGATGGGAAGACCAAGGCATAGGTGGGTGGACAATATTAAAATGGATCTTAGAGAGATAGGATGGGATGGTATGGATTGGATTGATCTGTCTCAGGATAAGGACCAGTGGAAGGCTCTTGTGAACACATTAATGAACCTTCGGGTTCCATAAAATGCTGGGAAATTCTTGAGTAGCTGCAGATTTGGCTTCTCAAGAAGGACTCAGCTTCATAAGTAAGTAAGTAAGTAGTTTTTATTTGAAATTATAACATCCTGAAATTGATGGCAGAATCTTTTCCTTATTCTTTGCATTAGTATGAAACGTGAACACTGTTTCAATGTATCATATTCACGTGGCATTTCAACACAAGAGTTACATGACTGATTGAATGTTTAATACAGCAGTACAGGTTTGGGATTATAGTCAACAAACATGTAACACATAAGCTCACTTCACAGTGGCTATTGAAAGATTAGCAGGGGCTATATTGGAGAGAAATTGTAATGCATGTAGGCTGTTGGCCCATTGACGGTGCCATGAGCCTGAACATGCCCAGTGTGAGTTGACACAAGTCATGTTTGTCCCTCTCACTTGACTAGCTAAAGGCTTTGTGGCAGACTGTCACACGATCTTCATGTATTCCTTGTCTTTCACGTTTACTTTAAATAAATCTTTTTATAAGTCTTCTGATAATTAACAGCAAACAGCAAAAGTTTTGTCTTCATTTTAGGATAATTTTGTTCCAGGGAGATCTTGAAGTTGAGTGATGGTGGACAAGTGGCATTGGATTGGTTGGAAGATGGCTGTCCAGGCAGTGCGCCAGTTGTTCTCATTCTTCCTGGTTTGACAGGGGAAAGCCAGGCTGAATATGTTAAGTGCCTAGTAAATTCAGCCAGGCGCATCAAATTAAGAGTGGTTGTCTTCAACAACAGAGGTCTCGGTGGGATTTCTTTGAAGGTGATGATGTGAATAAGCGGCTGTTGGAAATGATGCATAGCTCCTATTATGGCTTCTTTGGTTCACAGTGTCATAATTATAAACAGTAACACTTAAAAGGATATAAATGAGTGGATAAAATTAAGAAAACCCTTATGGGAACTGTACAGGCTATTCTTTGTAGTGTTCCTTAGTCAGGTTTTTCTGGTAACAGTGATGAATTTCAGGATTCCAGAACAGCAGAAATCTAATTTAAATGCTGAATAGCCATTGACTAGTCAAGAAAAGGCTATGTTAAAACTGTGATGAAACTTAAAAAGAACTTCTGACAAAAGTTTTTATTTCCATTTCTTTCAGATTCTTTCAATTTTATATCGTGATATTAGCAAGAAATTCAAATTAATATTAATATAATTTAATTATCCATTTCTGTGCATTATTTTCATTAGTACAGACTCTTACTATGTTGAATTAGTTAAATACAGCCTCAGAAGTTTGCACCAACACCTCATTTGTAACTTTAAAAGACAATATTTTAGGTTGAATTTTTAGGTGAATTTATATTTCTGTACATAAAGATTTCAAATTCCTAGCTCCAGTAGTCCATAACTTAATAAAATTTTGTGTTAAAAATATATTCTACATGGTCATTGTGTTGTTGTTTTGCATTATACAAAAACAAACGGTGGTTGGCATAGCAATAATGCTCTAGACACATACTTGAGAGGTGCTCAGTTTGAATGTCATCCAGGACAGATTATTCTAAGGTTATTCATGGTTTTCGCAGTCCTTCCAGGCAAAGGCCAAGATAGTACCTCAATTAGGCCATGACTGCTTCCTTCAAAATCCTTTCCAGTTCATCACTCATTCTACCGTTTATGCTATGTAATTTACCCATAGATACTTTAGCATTCCTAAATGAATGCCACGTGCACACATACACACAACCTTCATAAATGTATTTTTATTTTTGAAGCTCTACTACCACACAAAATTTTGTGATCCTATGTTAGTACAATAATAGTGGTATTAGTGTCAGTACTATCCCATATGTTCACACCACCATGTTGATATTAATGACAGTAGGAAATTAAAAAAATATGAAGGTAGATAGCCCACAGTGATATGATACTGTTGCGTATTGGGCGTATATCATGACGAATAACTTCACGATGTACTTGATGTAGCAAATTTTATTTCACATCCGCTCTTACAATCACCCAAATTACAGATTTACGATTACTGCTATCTGCAGTATCACAAATAGTACACTCCAAATGCCAGAATACAACTGACTAGTTGCTGGCTAACTCGAAACTAACTCGGAGGTAGCTCGAGGACTCACTCGGAGGTAGCTCCAGGACTGACTGTGAATAGCCTTCGCTGCTCCTCATGTAGCCTCGATCAGACAATTATCGTCTGGTGCCGTGTTGCTAGCCATTCTGTCCGGAGTTGTTGACTGCTGCCTAGCAACCGCGATATCCCTCGGTGACGTCACCGCTGTTGATTCGCTTTGCATAGCTTCAAGGTCGCGGGGACTTGGCTAATGTCGGCTCCACTCGTGACGACACCGCGCGTTGCATAGCTACCAGGATGCGGGTGATTACTCGCCTATTACGCGAGCGCTACGTTACCGCTACGTGCAGCTGGGGAGGTAGGGGTCAACATGTCACAATACTATAGCAAGTTCATTTGGTTCAGAAGTTTATACAAGAGTATGGGTCAGCACACAGAAATGATGTTACTGTAAGCCTATAATTTCTTATTAAATAAGAAAAGCTTTAAATTAATTAATGAGATATATATATATATACACGAGTAATAATGATTAATGAAGATTAATAATTAATTTATATATTTACATGACTACATAGTGTTCATATTACATAAATTTCAAAACATATAACAGTTTTTCCACTGTCAGGTTGCTGGATTTGAATTGTATATTGTTATTGCAGACACCAAGAACATACTGCGCTTCAAAGTGTGATGATTTATCAGAAGTTGTGAATCATGTTAGATCACTGAATCCTGGAATCCCTCTTGTAGCAGCTGGTGTTTCTATGGGAGGGTATGTTGATTTTTAATCAGTAATATGTGTGATGTGTTACAATCTGTGGTACTGGACACTTAGAAAGGTTAAGAACAAACAACAAGTTGCCAGATAATTTTTGCCAGTATCGGGAGTTTGAATCCCACTCAAGGCATGGATGTCCATGTGCATTTATTCTGTATTTCTGTTTGTTCTATGTGTAGGTAGCGGCCATGTGACAGGCTGGTCCCCCATCCAAAGAGTCCTGACTGTGTATTGAATTAAGAAACTGATAAAGTGGCCAAGGTCCAAAGAAAGGCTGTAGAGCCAGAGAGAGAGAGAGAGAGAGAGAAAGCATAAAGATGAATTGTTGGTTTGTTTGGAAATTAATTATCCCCTCCCCGCATGTGTTGCATCCTGTCTGTGCCAGTTTAACAGGAATTATACTTACATGTCTGTCACACAGATAATTAATAATGTGTCAAAATTGAGGTTTGTGTACTGTCTTCTGGCATGTACCTCCTTATGGTCCAATAGAAGTTCATTAGCTGTGTCTGAACTGGAAGAAGTGCGAATGGTTATTAACCAGTTCAGACACATTAACAAAAACTGACTTTTTTTTTCATAATGTGTTAATGAACAGAGGTACCCCTCTGCAAGTAAGTTAATTCAACAAGTGTTCAGCTGCCACATGTCCACCCATTGGATTCAACAAGAATAATATCTTGACACTTCATGAGTATCAAGTTGACACCAAAAGTGACATTCGTGAGAAGTTTCAGTATAGTGCCATTATTATTCTGAATCTTCACCATCCTTCTGTGTAAAACTTCTAAACATCTGATGTTCTGGAATAAATCCACTATTTATACCTTAAATTTTATGCACAGAGGAACAGGAAACAGGAATAATACTAGTTCCACTTATTTCACTACATAAACCTAGAAATTAATCAGTTTTCTCTATTTTTAATCTTAATTATCTTATGAAAATCAGTTGCATAGTGCTGTCAGTGCGCTGTAAATTTAGTGATTGATCCAGTGCTAGATTTTGTTGATTGATCAACTGTAGAACAACTGTGGACCTGGAAACTCTTGTACTGACCAGCCCCCCAAAGAAGGTTCATCACAACCATGGATTTGTTTTATGTAAGTTGGTTATTTAACAGTGTGATCAGTATTGAATATGGAGTACTTGGTGTAGTGGAAATTGGCAGAGGAAACCAAAGTACTTGGAGAAGATCTGCCCCAGGTACATTTTGTCTACGTCAAATCCCACGCAACCAGACCTAGAACCAAATCAAGGCTGCCAAATTTGGAAGCTTGCAACTAACTGCCTGAACTGTACCATTGCCAGTTAGTGGAATAATGAGAGACACCACCTTACTTTACTTACTCATGGAGCTGAGCCCTTCTTGAGGAGCTGCCAATTCTGAAGCTTCTCAAGAATTTCCCAGCATTTTATGGAACCCAAAGGTTCATCACTGTGTTCACAAGAACACTCTACTGGTCCCTATCCTGAGCCAGATCTATCCAATCCATATCATCCCATCCTGTCTCTCTAAGATCCATTCTAATATTGTCCAACCACCTATGCCTTGGTCTTCCCTGTGGTCTCTTTCCTTCTGGCTTTCCCACCAATATCCTATATGCATTCCTCATCTCCCCCATTCGTGCTACATGCCCTGCCCACCTCATCCTCCATGACTTGATCATTCTAATTATACTTGGAGAAGAGTACAAGTAATGAAGCTCCTCATTATGCAGTTTTCTCCAACCTCCTATAACTTCGTCTCCCTTTGGTCCAAATATTCTCCTCAACACCCTGTTCTCTAACACCCTCAGTCTATGTTCCTCCCTTAATGTCAGAGACCAAGTTTCACATCCATAGAGAACCACAGGCAAAATTATAATTTTGTATATTCTAATTTTTATGTTTTTGGACAACAGACGAGAAGACAAAAGGTTCTGGACTGAATGGTAGCAAACATTCCTCAAGTGCAATCGCCTCTTAATTTCCTCCTGAATCAGGTTTCGATCTGTTATCGTTGTTCAAAGACATTTTTATATTCTCTCTAATAGTTTCCCAAGTTTTATTAACATCCACTTCATTGTCCAAGTTTTCCAAAGCTGCAAACCTATTTGAGATTTCAACACGGTACTGCTCTTTACCCACTGCCACATTTCATTTCTTGAGATTGAACCTCTCCATATGAACTGTGTGTGTGTGTGTCGTTTGTTTGCTCACTGCCAGTCTTTCCCTAACCTTTGCCACCACCAGGTAGTGGTCAGTATCACAATCTGCTGCCCTGAATGATCGGACATCAAGTATACTTGAGTGCCATCTCCTGTCTGTCAAAATATGGTATATTTGATTGTGTATCTTCCCATCAAGAGATATCCAAGTAAATTTATGGATGTTATGATGTGGGAACATTGTACTTTTGACAGTAAGATTTTTTGATGTGGCAAAGTTTACTGCTCTAACTCCGTTATCATTACTAATTTCATGCAAATTCTCATTCCTAATCATTGGTTTGAAAATTTCTTCCCTCCCTACTTTGGCATTGAAATCTCCTAACAAAATTTTGATAGGGTGCTTTGGGAATTTATCAAATACACGTTCTAGTTCTTTATACAATCTATCCTTTATGTCATCAATTTTATCTTATGTTGGGATGTGAACATTCATAACAATGATATCACATCAGCGACCTTTTAGTATTATATATGATATCCTATCACTAATGAACTCTAACCTCTTAACTGCTGATATGATTCTCTTATGTACGAAAAAGCCTGTACCTAATTCATGATTTTCATTCCCCTTTCCATAGAAAAATGTATAGTCTCCTGCCGGTGTGATGCCCCCTCCATCCCATCTGACCTCCTGTACGCCCACTAAATCTGACTTATAGTTTAAGATTTCTTCTGCCACTGCCCTGAGCAAACCTGCCCTATACATACTTCTAATGTTCTGGGTTCTGAATCTCATATCCATCTTCTTTAGNCCTAAGCTGGAGGACCACCCCTTGTCGGCTGTCTGCGACTGTTTATTCAATATATCCACAGCTTCCCTCCAAAACTGGAGGGCGTCTCCTCCATCCGCAACCTGAGGACGAGCCATGCCAGGGTGACAGGGACCCACCTAACATTGAGAGACGCCAATGAGATATAAATATTATCATGTGTACTCGTATGTCTGTGTGATTCATGTATAGCTGTAAAGCCTGTTAATTGTTCTGTATTTTAACCAGCAGACTTGACAAAACTTGATATTGTAGGGGCTGGTTCTGATTTTTCTGTTAAAATATAACCTCACATTTTCATGTCTTTGGCATTCTAGAACTTATTAACACCCAAAAGGAATGTTTTCGATGGAAAAGTAGCCATATTTATGATATTGCATCACACAAAATTTGACATGTGCAGCAAGAAAGTCTTTTTTTGCTTTCCTTTGCCATGTCTGATTACCAGCCAGAATTCATCATTACAGTTAAAATGTTCAATTTAAATTTCATCACAAAGTGAATGCAACAGGAATGCAGAATATTAAATTTGTTTCTATATGAAAACTAAGGACTTTAACATGCTTTGTGGTTAAGATTACAGTCTTCTGCATCGTGGCAGCTGAAGGTGGAGGTAGCAGGTTTCATCAAAGTGGTGATATCTGTCTGCCACAGTATTTGGCATCACATCCTGGAACATCATAATGTTAATATTTACGAATGAGAGAGCATCAGTTCTCATGTTCTTTGGTTGATTCCTTACAGACTCATATTAGGCAACTACTTGGCATCACAGTTTTCTAAACCAGACAAACCAATCTCAGCTGCTATGGTAATATCAGTACCTTGGAATGTCTTTAAAGGCACAGAGAGTATTGAGAAACCAATTGTAAACTTAATGTTGAATAGACATCTTGCCGGTGGCCTCTGCAGAAATATTGAAAGGTATAGTTTATTTGCTATGACTTAATTTGGAATTTGGAAAACTTACTTGAACTGTAATTTTACCTCTTAGCCTAGGGGCTTGTGTGCATTCCATACCAGGGGCTGAGGTTAAGAATGAATGGAGTTTACCTTCACTATATCGTAGTACAGATAATGCATATACTGTCGAGTTGAATAATCTTCTCTTTGCCTTAAGAACCAGAACATTTTAATAGCATACATAATACTGTAGTGTATAGACCCATTTGCTAGGTAAAGACCATGAAACGAACTGGCTGAGTAGCAATCACATTGGAACCCCAACAGACATGTACTCAACAATAGAAGAGCTGTTTTCTGTTAGCCTGTGCCAAGTGGTTATAAGTGGAATGAAGTTTAGAGCTTAGTTCAGTTGTGGGATATGTGCCAAATGGTAGGGATGCAAGTGGAGGACAGAGTTAAGATCATTACAACTACTGAAATCATAGAAGACTTTATGTGTGCACCTTTAGAGTGTGTAAACCAGTGAGTTTGTTTTAGTTATTGTAATTACGATATGTAAGTGATCAGTAGTTCCAATTAGCAACCCAAACCCTGTCTGTAGTCACTCTGTCACGTGACAATACTTTCAAACGGATATGATGCAAAGTCAAATCCTGTGCTGCATGTAATGGAATGGAACATAGTAGCATTACATTTTCTACTGTCCATAACATAAGATAGGTGAGGGACATTTAAATTAATTAGCCTTTGGGTGTCAGAATATAATGAATTTAAATAGTACAGCAAAGGGATGAACAATTCATTTACATCTTAGGCTAATTTGAGAAGGAATTTAAATTATTTGTTACCTGGAACACATACATAGTGAAGAAGAAACAGAAGTTGCATAATGCATGGAGCTGCATGTTCAGTTGGTATGCAGAAACTTATGGGATGTTGTGGATAACCATTGTAACTTTGCCCCACATATGCAGCATTTCTGTTGGCTACAAGAAGTGTTTACTCATAACAAGACCACAACGTGAGGACCATTACATAATCATGAAATATAAAAGATGTGAAAAGATATTAATAACTTAAAATTGTTTACAGATCATTTTTCTTTCCCAGTTACACATATATTTTAGGGTCTAGGTCCTTCATTGTCAAATGAAGATCCATATTGGGTTATCTAGTAATGATACTTTGAATGAAATAAAAGGTACTGAGAATAATAGCTAACATTTCTTCTTTTGACAGACTAAAACGTGATAAAGTACCACATGGACCATGGGATCTTGAAGAGGTTTTGAGGGTAAGATTTCTGCTCTATAGTAAGCCCTCGCTAATCTAGATTAATTGGGGGGAAATAGACTTTAAAGGATTCTGACGATGGTGTATGCTGTACAGAAGTATAAGGTATATTTTGGACTCTATCCATCATCTGGTATATATAAGACAAAAAATCACGTTTTGGAGACTGGATCTGTCTCCATCCTCAGGTGGATGGGGCAAGAGAGACCTACTCAGTTGGGCCCGTTAGAACAAGCTAGTCTCAATCACTGGACAAACCCTGGTTTGTTCTCTTCTCTACTGACCGGGGTTTGTCCATGATTGAGACTAGCTCTTTCTAATGGGCCCAACTGAGTAGGTCTATCTTGCCCCATCCACCTGAGGATGAAGACAGATCCAGTCTCCAAAATGTTGTGGTTTTTTGTCTTATATTTACCAGACGATGGATAGAGTCCAAAATATACCTTATAGTTCTGTAATTGGGGGGAGGTCATCTGGATTAGTGAAGCAAAAGGTAGCCCTTAGAGATAAAATAACTTAGAACACAAATAAATGGAAAATTTAATGATATAAATGGTTCTGATGAAAATAAATACAAAAGTATCATTGTAGAGTCATTATTTAGAATCTATTAAAAGCAGGACCTTTATTCAACAGTACAAGACTCAGAAGTTATATTTGTTTTTAATGTAACAATGCAAGTTTGAAGAAACTGTCAATTTTTGTCAGAACAGACAAGTCACTCATCTGACTTCCTAAATTAAATGTCTTTTAAAGTGTGCATTCAGCTGTGAAGAGCATTTTTCATATTTTGATCCAGATTAACTGTAACTGCACTAGTGAGGAGTTTGCTATAAGTATACTATGACATAACGGCTGAAAGCCAGAATACTAGAGTGAATGGATGTGGCTATTACTAGACAACGGCATGGTGAACATGTTTCCACAGCAATGAATCAGCACTTAACAAGAGGAGAACTGTTAGCAATGTAGTGTTTTCTATTGAGTCCATGCTAAGGTTATATAATGAGTCAGTCATGAGCTAAGAATAGACACACTAGGACCAATGGGTTGGTAGTGAGACAATTGCCAGCCAGTGAAGCTGTAATCAGAAGAGAGCATTGTTGGGATTCATTACCAGGCAGCCACCAATGAAGACAAACTGAGAAGACTTAGTGTGGGCTGTAGTGATTTGTAAAGTGCACAAATTAACTAGATTGCTATAATTACTTGAAGTGACAAGTTTTAGGAGTCATATGAATCCAATTACCAGTCCAAACCCCTCGTCTGATCACTAAAATCATGACAACTGGTGCCAGGCATGGTATTATTGAATTGGACTGTCATACTTACTGAATTGTGCATTGGATTGGAATGCAAGTGACTGATAATCATGGCAGGTTTAGAATGTCTGGCAGACATCATAGAACAGATGGAAGCTGAAAAGAAAACCAGCTAAGAATGGATCATAGTCAAGATGGCTGAAAGCCAGAATAGTGGAATAAATGTATGTGGCCGTTGCTGACCAACACTCTAGTAATCACATTTCCACAGCAACAAAGCAGCATTCAGTAATAGAAGAACTGTTAGCAACGCAGTGTTTTCTGTTGAGTCTGTGCCAGGATTATATAATGAGTCAGTTATGAGCCCATAAACCACTACAAAATGGCTGCTAGAGTTCATAGGCTGCTCAAAGTCATAGTATTTAATGCAAATGGTGTTTGGAGGCAGCGCTATGAGCTAAGTAAACAGCTGCAAGACTTTATAGATGGTGGCTGTGCTGTCAGAGATACTTCTCAAACCCCGCAAGAGGTGCTTTGTTCCAAATTGTCACTTTTATTGAACCAGCTGCTTCCCAGGAAGAAAAAAAGCATTCCCCACAACTATGTTGACCTGCCTCTGCTTGTTTCAATAGAAGCGACAGGGGTTTGCGTACTGATTGGTAATAATGAAGTGCTACTTGCAGCAGTTTGTAAGTCACCAGACCACAGCTGGAATGATGCAGACATCACTGAGCTCTTAAGCTTTAGACATAAGTCACTACTGACAGGAGATCTGAATACTAAACATCCATTTTGGAATAGCATAGTTTCCAACCCTTCAGGTGTGAAACTACTGAATTTACTGCATTTAAACAAGTTTGAGTTTTCAGCATCACAATGTCCCACTCATTACTTCTGCAGGAAATGGTGACGTGCTCAATATTGTTATACAGAAGAATGTCCAGCTGAAAGAAGTCATTGTCTCTGACATTCTGGAATCAGATCACCTACCAGCTGTGCAGCATGCACAATTCAATTTCCAAAGTGTACACCGGTCTGCAAGTTGTACATGGCTTTCCAAGTACCATATATTTATGATTACATAACAAAATTGTGCAGGCAGCAGGCAGAGGTTATACCGAAAATATAAGAGGCTTAAGCTTAGGGTGGGGGTGCAGTGTATCATTCATTTAACTTGAATTTACAGCTTTACCATTTTAATAAATCACCTTGTATATAGTTTTATAATAGATAATGGCCTTAGGCAGCATCTAATCATTTATCTCTTGTCACACCAGAGCAAGACTATACGTGAATTTGATTCATCATACACCACAAAACAGTTTGGCTACAAAGATGTGGAGTCCTACTATACAGATGCTACTATCCATGATAAACTACATAAAATTGAAGTTCCATTATTGTGCCTCAGTGCTGGGGATGACCCCTTTCAGCCTTTTGAAGGTAAATCTTAAGAAACTAAATTGAATTTTAAAAATTCCATTGTTATACAACATGCAGATTTAATTAATAGAAGATAATTTCAAACCTGCTGTTTTCATTGATGTTTACCAATGTTAAAAGGCATTGCAAATTTCACAGTTCATGTCCACGTTCATATCAGAATTTAAGAGTTACAACTTACTCATGAAATATAGAACTTGCAGGTGGAACTGGTCATTTGTTGATTGAATGTGTATGTTGTGGCAGATGGTTTTTATTTAGTGGAAGTAACGTAACATAACTTTTCACCAGTTGAAGTTTACAGTGGTAGTAATCACTAGTGTCATTACTGTTTATTGTGATGGCAGGCAACATCTTACCCACTTTACTTATGTTCCCAACCATTTTTGTTTTACGGCTGTAAAAAAGCAACAGCTATCCAATTTGTTTCATATTGTACAGTACAAATAATAATGTGCACCACTGATGGTTACAAATAGAATGTGTTTCTTTACAATATAAAAATTAACACCTTCATGTGATATTAAATTTGAACAGATATCATCAACATAAACATTCACAATTAAAGGTATGCGTGAAGGCATGTGAAATAATTTAGTGTCAGTGATTTCTGATGTGATCAATTCAATGTATAACAGAAAGGAAATTAACCATATTTGACTTATCTGGTTAGACCTCTGCACAGAATCTAGTAATGTTCAACATAAGCTGTTTAGTCACTAAAAGAAAACAATGAAGAAAGTTTTCATGTGTGAACCACCAGTTTTGGTCTGGGGTCTACTGGTTGAAAAACAGTGGAGCATCCTGTTAATCCTTTTACAGAAAGATATACATTACACAAAACAATGCCACATGTTAGAAATAGTGAAAACTACTTACACCACTAATTATTCTAACAATTCGTTTCTGCAATTTAAATATAATTTTACTTTTTGGGTCGCTACCCCAGAAAATTAAACCATATTTCAAATAAACATGGAAGTGAGCAAAGTAAATACTCCTTATAACCTGTTGGCTTGTTATATCCCTAAGGGATTTTATCATGTAACAGACTTTATGAAGTTTTGAGATTAAGAACATCATATGTGCTTTCCACTCCATACGAAGGGGGACCCAAAAATAACCGGAAACGACCTGTTGCGCGCGCATGCTTTGTAGTTACGAGTTGTGCTGCTAGGTGGTGTTAGCTGGAGGTCTCCCGCGACTGTTAGTGAGCTGGCGTCAGTCTGAGTTAAGTGGTTTGTCTGTGGTGCTCTGTTGTGTGCGTTCCTGTTTCAACCCTTTGGCGATTAGTGAGATGGCCGACCAGAAGGAACAAAGAGTGTGCGTGAAATTTTGCTTTCTGTTAGGGAAAACTGCACTTCACTCTTCAAGTCGCGGCAAACATTCACGCGGTTTTCTCTTTGGTCATCTCCGAGCAAGCGAGGAACAAATTTTGCAGACACCCGTCTCATGTGCAAACCTTCGGTTAAAATTCGCTGGACCGTGCTCCATGAGATGTTCGTTTCCTCAGAAAGTTGGTCAATGGTCTTTCGACGATCTTCATAAATTTCACGCACACTCTTTGTTCCTTCTGGTCGGCCATCTCACTAATCGCCAAAGGGTTGAAACAGGAATGCACACAACAGAGCGCCACAGACAAGCCACTTAACTCAGACTGACGCCAGCTCACTAATAGTCGCGGGAGACCCCCAGCTAACACCACCTAGCAGCACAACTCATAACTACAAAGCATGCGCGCGCAACAGGTCGTTTCCGGTTATTTTTGGGTCCCCCCTCGCATGCTCGCCAACATGTATACCTAGAAATTTCATTTCTCATTTAGGAGATCTCCATTTTGCCAAATTTGATTTGAGGTTCCATCAAATCTCTTACATTGCACAAAACAATGCCACATGTTAGAAATAGTGAAAACTACTTACACCACTAATTATTCTAACAACTCGTTTCTGCAATTTAATATAATTTTACTTTTTAGGTTGCTACCCCAGAAAATTAAACCATATTTCAAATAAACATGGAAGTGAGCAAAGTAAATACTCCTTATAACCTGTCGGCTTGTTACATCCCTAAGGGATTTTATGATGTAACAGACTTTATGAAGTTTTGAGCTTAAGAACATCATATGTGCTTTCCACTCCATTTTGCCAAATTTGATTTGAGGTTTCATCAAATCTCTTTCTCGTCTCTTATTAAATGTCATTGCTATTGTTTTCTCAGTATTCAATATAAGATTATTTGCATTGAACCATCCATATAACTCGTTCATGAATTTATTTATCTTTTGATGCAGGATGTGCCCGTTTTCGGCTGTTATCAGAATATTTATGTCATCTGCAAGCAAAACTATCTTCGCCTCTTTGATATTCAAAGGCAGATCATTTATGTATAATAAAAATAATAATGGTCCAAGCACTGAACCCTGTGGTACTCCATATTTAATTTCTCTTGGAGCCGATGTATATTTTTTTGCCATCGCAACTTATTTCAACAACTTGCTTCCAGTAAGCCAAATACGATTTAAACCATAAGTTTGCCACACCTCTAACTCCATATGTTTGTAGTTTATAAAGTAAGGTGTCATGATTTATGGCATCATACGTGGTGAGTTCAAAAAGTATCGAACCTTTGGTCGGCAGAAATGCATTTATTAATTTGTATGTACAAAACCCTAATCCCCTTCAAAGTAGTCTCCTTGGTAATGCACACACTTCTCCCAGCACTTCCGCCATTGTTGGAAACACTTCTGGAATGCGTCTTTTGGAATGGTGATCAGCCGGGCCATTGCATTCCGCATGATGTCTTCTCTTGACTCAAATCAGGTTCCTTTCAGCGTCATTTTCAGCTTGGGAAATAGCCAAAAGTCACACGGAGCCATGTTGGGGGAGCAGGGAGCCTGACTGACCACAGGGATGTTGTGTTTGGTGATGAAAGTCTGAATCAGATGCGCAGAATGGGCGGGTGCGTTATCATGATGGAGCTGCCAAGTTTTTGCTGCCCACAGATCCGGTCGTTTGCACCACACAGCATCACGAAGGCGACAAAGGACCTCCTGGTAGTATTCCTTTGTGATGGTTTGGCCTTGTGGTGCATACTCATGATGCACAACCCCACGGGAGTCGAAGAAAACGGTCAACATGACCTTGACATTGCTGCGGACCTGCCGTGCTTTTTTTGGCCTCGGGGATGTCGGATGTTTCCACTGTGACGACTGCATCTTGGTTTCCGGGTCATACCCATAAACCCACAACTCATCGCCCGTGATCACGGTGTTCAGAAAGTTGGAGTTACTGTTTGCATTGTCCAGCATGTCCTGTGCGATTTCCAGACGGCGTTGCTTCTGCTCCATTGTTAGAAGTTTCGGTACAAATTTCACGGACACACTCCTCATGCCCAAATCCTCGGTCAAAATTGAATGTACCGATCCAATGCTTACCCTTATCTCATTCGCAAGTTCTCGGACTGTGATATGACGGTCCTCCATGACCAAAGTCCGTACTTGCTCAATGACATTCTCATTTTGGCTTGTTGAGGGTCTGCCTGAACGCGGTTTGCTGTCCACTGATGTGCAGCCATCTATGAAGCGGTTGTACCACTCCTTTATCTGTGAGTTGCTCATGGCATCGTCCCCGAAAGCCTGTTGAATCTTGCGAATGGTTTCCACTTGGGTATCGCCAAGCTTTTGGCAAAATTTGATGCAATATTGCTGCTCATGTTGTTCCGTCATTTTACACCTTACTGGAATCCGACGAGCGCTCACTACACGTCCTCACTCATAGACCGATTGCCAGCGACTGACGCTTTCTGCGGGCGGGAAAAAATTCACGACTGCGCATGAATGTCCCCTCCACATCTCCACCGAAGGGAGCCTCCCGCACTTCATTGGTTTACGTGGGAAAAAAGAAGGTTCGATACTTTTTGAACACATCACGTACGCTTTAGTTAAATCACAAAAAATTCTGACCTGTTTTTTTTTCTTTTTTCTCAGCTGATTCCTGTATGGTTGCTAGAAAAGAGTAAATTGCAGTCTCAGTCGACCTATTCATCCTAAATCCATGTTGGGCCTCTGTTAACATGGTATTTCTTGTCAAAAAGGAGAGTAACCTATTATGCATCAACTTTTCCAAGATTTTCAAGAAAGCACATAAAAGGGATAATGGTCTATAGTTTTTCATATCCTTCTTGTCTCCCTTTTTATGAAGTGGTTTTACCTTTGCTAAATCTCTCTGGGAAAATACCTGCTTCTAGAGAGGCGTTATAAATGTGGGCTATGGCGTTTTAATCGCTTCTATACATTTTTAACCACATAATCCCGTATTTGATCGGTACCTGCTGTAAATTTCCCCCTAATTTCTTCACCACTTCCAATATCTAGTTTTCTGTCACTGGACAAATAAACATTATTTCATTACAGGTATTTATTCTCTGTGGTGCTTTACAGCACAACATTGCACTATTATTTTGCTTGACAAGCTTTCCTACTATGTCCGCGAAATATAAATTAAACATTTCAGCTATACGCTGTGGATTTGCCTCTTTCCTTGTCCCGCACTTTAGTTCTATTCCAGTTCCCTTTGCAGGTTATTTCATAATTCCTTATTCGCTATTTGCCACATTGCTCTAGTTTTGTTTTTTCATTAGCTATATGCCTGTCATTTTCCCTCTCCTTAGCTTCCTTTATTACTCTCTTGTATAGCATTCGATATTTATGTATATACTTCTGTTCTTTTTGTATAAGATTTGTTCTCTTTTGCAAACTAGTCAACCAACTCATCCTTTTACTGGACTTTCTTATTCCCTGAGTAACCCAACCTTTCTCTTGTTGTTTACTCTGGTTAAATAATTTTAAGGGGAAAACCATATTATTAAACCATTATTAAAAATAAACAAAAACTGGGGATGCCTGCTTCACTCTAAAAAATTATTTGCTTTTATAATCATGTACAGATATGAGACTAGCATTTCATTCTTATGCTATGTTTAATTTTTTTTCAGCAATTCCTCTTCAGGCAGCAAATGATTCCAAACATGTTGCTATTGTTGTAACAGCACGTGGTGGTCACATTGGGTTCCTGGAAGGTCTTTTTCCCCTGCTCCATGAGCAGTATATGTGTCGCCTTTTCACACAGTATTTCACTGCCATGTTTGAATATGGCTCAGATCTTATTGGTATAGTCAAGAAACCTACAACTACGTCATGTATGACCTAAGTTTTATTTCCTTAAATACAGTATATGAGTAGCACAGGACAAGGAAGGCAGCCAGCCATGGAAAAGATGACGAGTATGAGTGCGGGGGNGGGGGGGGGGGGGGGGCATCAGCCACAGCCAGGAAGTGTCTTTAATTAAAATATAAAACACCACTGATTGTTTTATTTGATTAACCACTGCAATCTAATTCTGCTTTTAATATCTTAATATACTGATCACATTATGGTACTTTAACTGCACTAGTTAAGTTTGGTTTAGTAACTTTGGTTTAAGAACAACCTATTCAATTCTACAAATCACAACATTGAAATTATGTTGCTACAGGACTTATGGTCAGCCCCTCCATGTCAGAGAAAATGTGCAGAGTATCCTGAGATTAAAATAGCTTGTGATGAATATTGCAGCAGCTGTCATCTCTAATTTTTATATACATCAATTCATTCTCTTCATTATTATTATTATTATTATTATTATCATTATTATTATCATTATTATTATTATTATTATA